TTCACAATGGAAATTAAGTGTATTTACACACCGAATAATGGGGTGGATAGAAAACTTTTTTTTAACTCTGTAAAATTTGATGAAACAGCAAATCATAAAATCATATGTGGTGATTTCAACTGCGCGAAAAACAATCAGCTTGATAGGCAACCGGTGCCCTTACGTAAAGATGTTGCAGTCTGTGAACTAACTGAATTAATAAGAAAATACGAATTACAAGATATTTGGCGTGAAAGAAATCCGGAAAAAAATGCTATACATTTCACAGGGGCAATTCAAAATCAAGAATATACTTTTTCCTTACAAGTGAAAATATATTACATAAGGTAAACAACTGTGCAATTATACACTTTCCATTTAGTGACCACGACTTGATAACATTAAAATTGCAAATGGATAATATCCAAAGAGGCCCAGGACTATGGGCAATGATTGAAAAAACTATAAGAAATGAAGATTTCCGAAAAACTTTTGTTGATTTTGGGAAAAATACAAAAAAAAGCTTAGATAATTGTCAGGATATTTTACATTGGTGGGACTTAACAAAATATAAAATAAAAATATTATGTATTGAGATGTCAAAAAAATTAAATGTTAATAAACAGAAACTTGCAAAATTAGAAAAAGAATTAGAAAAGATTAAAGACAGTCCTTCAAATGATAAAAAGTATCAAAACGATCTTGAACAAAAAATCAAAGACATTTATACGGATAAGACAGAAGCTGCAATTATAAGATCTAAATGTAGGTGGTTTAGAGAAGGAGAAGCACCTTCTAAATATTTCTTTCAATTAGAAAAAAATAACGGAGAAAAAAAATTGTGGACTAGAATTAAAGCAGAAAATGGCACTTATAAAACTGACATTGACTCAATAATTGAAGAGCAAATAAATTTTTATTACAAATTACTAGATACTGAGGGTTGGGATAGAGAAAGCGGAAATTTATTATTAGAGACAGTACAATGTAAATTAGATGAGGGTGACGTAAACATGCTTGACAGCGATATAACTGATAACGAGATCTACAAAGCAGTTATGTCATTAAAACCAAATAAATCACCTGGGGAAGATGGAATACTGTCAACTTTTTATCAATTATATTGGGATACAATTTAAAATTGAATTTTCAAAAGTAATAAAATATATTTTTCAAAAGGCTATACTCTGTGACTCGCAAACTAAAGGAGTTATTTCATTAATACATAAAGGGAATGAAAGAGAAGATGTAAAAAAAAAAATTGGAGACCTTTAACTATGCTTAACAACGATTATAAAATTATTGCTAAGATACTCTCTGAGAGGTTAAAGGTTGTATTGCCAAAATTAATTCACCCAGATCAAAAAGGGTTTGTTAAGGGTAGAAATATAAGTGATGCAAATAGATTAATTCAAGACATAATCGATTATGCAGAAAAAGAAGATTTAGAAGGGGCAATAATATTTCTGGATCAACAGAAAGCCTTTGATAGGATAGAATGGGGGTGGATAGAAGCCACATTACAGAGATTTAACTTTGGTGAAAAATATTGTAAATGGATAAAAATGCTTCTAATAAAATCAAAAACTTGCATTAAAACAAATGGATTTGTTTCAAAATACTCTTCAATATCAAGATCAGCAAGGTAAGGTTGTCCTATAGCTCCCCTACTTTACGTGCTTCAAATAGAGCCTATGGCTTGTGCAATCAGACAAAATCCTCAGATAAAGGGCATCTTAATTTCTGGAAAAGATCAACATATAGAGTGTAAAATAAATATATTCGCCGATGACACACAGCTATTTAATAAAGATGAAGAATCTATAATAAATTCCTTTAATATTTTAGAAGTATATGAAAGAGCTTCAGGGGCAAAAATCAACTTTTCAAAAACTAAAGGATTGTTTATTGGAAAATCAAAGGGTAAAACACCAAAATTTAAAAAAATTCAATGGATAAAAACTAACATAAAAACTTTAGGGGTACATCATGGATATAATATCGATACTTGTGCAATATGGTTGGAAAAAATAGAAAAAATTATGAACAGTTTGCATGTCTGGAAAACTAGAAACCTTACATTTAAAGGGAAAACTTTGATAATAAAGAATTTGATAATTCCAATTATTGGTTATGAAATAGAAATGAGAGGAATACCAGACATTTATGCCAAACAAATAAACGACATTATCTGGTCTTTTATTTGGGATAATAAATTGAATAAAATAGACAGAAATGTGTGCTGCTTAAGCAAGCATGAAGGAGGAATGAATATGACAAATATATTTAATTTTATAAAAAGTAAACAAATCAAGACAATTTATAAAATTATGCATTCAAAGTTAGAAACATGGAATGCAATTGGTAAATACTGGTTACAGAGTAAAGATATACATCCAAATCAAGAATATCACTTATGCACTTGTTCGGATTTATCTCAAATTTCCTTAAATAAAATTTCTAGTTTTTATAAAAAGGCACTTATCGCATATAGCGAATTTCAGTCAAAATTTGAGCCAGAGAGTCGAGAAGAACTACTCAATCTCTCTCTGTTCGGTAATTAACTTATACAATTTAATGGGAAAGCCCTATATGTTGAATCATTTATTAAAAGTTTTTTTTTTTAAATTAAAGACATTTGGAATGATGAGAAAAACTGTTTTAAATACAATGACACTATTTTTAATGAATTATTAGACAAAAGATGCTGGATTTTTTAATATAGTAAAATAAAAGCAGCCATTCCTAAATCTTTTTATCAAATAATGAAAAGAAACAACTTAATATCCAACAACGAAATAAAACTCCCTTATAAATTGAATAATAATTTACTCATTCAAAGAGGTACTAATAAAGTGGTAAATAATGATGATCTCAAGTTAAAAAACATAGAAAAAATATTAAACAAGAAAAAAAATCCAAAAAGTCAAGAAAAATGGGAAAAAATATATCAAAATAACATACAGTGGAATTTAGTTTGGGACAGTATTTCAAGAGTAAAAGTAAAAAATAAAATTCAAGAATTCCAATGGAAAAGTGTGCATAATATATTGTATACTGAAAATAAATTAAGTAAAATCGGACTTTCCAATGGTTTATGCAATTTGTGTAAAAACCATAGGGAAAATCAACAACACCTCTTTTTTCATTGCACAAAAGTTAAACAAACACTTACAACTGAAGGGTTTTTTATCAGTTGATGAGCAAACAATAATATTAGGGTACTTAGAGGAACCGCAAATTCCAAGAACTTTTGTTAATACCTTAATATATATTTATAAATGGGTCATATGGAAAACAAGAAATAAAGTTAAATATGAGAATCTAAAAATAAATGACTCAAGTATTAAAATTGCTTTTAAAAATGAAATGAAATCAAATTTACTATTACAATCACATGATCAATTATAAGGGAGAAAATGAATCATATTTTTCAAAATCCTATGTATTTCTAATACTAGTAATAGTCAATATCTGCTGACACATTTACTACATAGTTACTGTTTAGGTTACCTTAATTTGCTTGTGTCTTTCTTTTCACACACAATAGTAACTGGAAACTTTATGATTAAAATAATTTTAAAATGAATGTTAAGTTCTTTTTTTCCCTGTAAAATGTAATGTGAAAAAATTATACATATATTCAGAAAATTTGTTTTGCTTTCTGTTTTATTTTTGTTTTTCTTCCTCTTTTTTTCTAAAAATACTCTAAGTATTGTTTTTGTTGAGCATTATAACATAAAAAGACCCGTATTGGAGGGTGACCTGGCCCTCGATACTAGTTACAGCGGGATTGATGGACTCATTTTCTTTCTTTTTTTTTTTAATTAGAAATTCCCACTGTAACAAGGTCATGTTTATATATATGTATGTGATATTTCTATTGTTATAAAAAAAAATTAAACAATCAATTATATATGCATAAAATTTCCTTTTTTCCAAATTTTTCTTCACTTTCTGAGTTTTATGTACCTATTACTGTGTATTGTGCATATGTGCATATATATATATATATATATATATATATATATATATATATATATATATATATATATATATATATATGGTTTATACAGATATTGGTGGCATTATTAATAATTTATTCCTTTTTGAATATAGTAGTATAAACAGTTGAATTGATGTGATGGAAAAGTAATACACCCTGTGTACTAAACAATGTTAATTAACGTATCAGTTTAGGTTGATATTATTTATTAGTTGATTAAGTGTATTAAATTGTCATATTATCTTCGAACTGTCTGTGTATATTATATAATATTATACAAATGAATATATATTTAATAAACAAAACAAAAAACAAAACAAAAAAACCAAAAAAAAAAAAAAAAAAATCTCATAACAGTTTCATAGTAAATCAAAGTATTTGTATAGTTCACTATAGTAAACTATGGTAAATTATAGTTAACTATAGTAAATTTTTGTTGGGGCAGGAACAAAGAAAAAGATTTTCAAACAAATTGGGCATTTTCTCTGTATAATTAATAAAGCCCCCTACCACAACCAAGAACACCTGACCCTGGTGCCACATATCACACAATTTTTAAATAGGCACCTTTGCTTTTCATAACCAGACATTTAGTTTATCTACTAAATACTCGGAGCAGAGAAGAAGGTTTTTAAACTATTAAATGCATTTTATCTATACGAGGGTCGTTCAATAATGCAACATACAGTTTATCATTATACATGTACCAGGGTACTTGTAGAAGCATTTAATTTTATATTTTCACAGTCTGAAAGTGATAATAAACTTTAATTTTAACATTTTTTTTTCATTCAGATTTTATCTCAGATCAATGTTAAACAATTATTGAAATGCAAATAATACGTCTTACAGGAGTAGCAAACTAAGTGATTTTTGTTAAAGAAAATACATTTCTATCGTACATCGGTAACTCTTGCTTCCCAGACAGTAATGCAAATGATATGCATATGACCTCGGATGTGAACTCATTCGGAAAAAAAAATACGCATGCGTGTAGTGCATATTGGGGAAGAAAATGTCGGCGGCAACGAAATCAAAGCCAGGACCAAAGCGCAAGTTGACCGATTCGGCCAGAAAACGCAACAAAAAAGAAGCAAACTCTAAACTAAATAAAAACAGAATTTATATCGGTGATCAGTATGATCGATGGACTGAGCTGAAGACCGATCTCCATCTCAACAATAACACCGAAGTTGCAAAGATTCTCCTTGACAGGTAGGTCAAATATAACCGCGTATATCTTGCTTTCTTTCAAATGAATTTAGCTAGAGTCAATAAAACAGCTATAATTTATAAACTCGTTAGTAATATATGGCTATGTATACATTGTTAACTTCAGCGCAATGACATAACCAACAAAATTATTTTGGGGGGCCCCTTGAGGGGGCAGCCATGGACAATTAGAGACGTCCTTATCTTTCATGGAATAAATGAATTTTTTACTCATTAAAATGGTTCAACGCAACATTTGATTTAATTTAAACCCATATGATGAACTATTTTGATAATGTTTTTGTGTTTAAACACATATTGCAATATATTTTATTTAATTTTGGCAGTATTATTTTACATCATGCATCAGTATCAATCAATCAGCTTTCCTAATCATTTCACACTGTAGGAAGTAATCCGACTCTAAAATATGTAAATTTAGTAGAGTTTAGCCATGTTTGATGTGGAATAATATGTGGTTTGGAACAAGTTTAACCCCCCCCCCCCAAAAAAAAAAATTGTAGTTTTAAAAACTTGGTAGAACACTAAAAAATCATGCAGTACCTGATTTAGGCGATTCATTGAAAGTCCTAGAGAGTGAGCAGAGTTACCACTGTTAATTTTATGTTTTAAATTATGTAATATGCAGTTTTGATTTGCCCTTCAGCCTGTTAAGATTTGCTTGCTTATAAATCATATATGCAAACATTATTTGACAAAATTAAAGATTGCTGTATGATCTTATAATTTAAAAATTTCCTCAGCACTATCTGCAATTTATAGTGGTATAAAATATTTTGCATGTAAAATTTTATGTTATTTAATATTCTTATACATAGATTGAAAATACCCCACTTATTTACATTTGTTTCATCTTTGGTATAATTAGTAAAATATATATATATGAAGTATCTTAGAAAATGAAAAATTATAATTTTTCAGGTATCTTGCAACCCAACCACCAATAGAATATCAGGTTGAAGAAATTCAAAAAACTCCAGTGATTGGAGTGCAAGTTGGTCTGTCAACACCAGATGTTAAACATGTGCAGACTTCAACACCTGGACCTTCTTATAAAACTCTGATTCATCAACTTGCTTGTCCTGTATCAGATATTTCTTCTGAATTAAGCAACAGGTAATTTTTTTTTTTCGAAATAAATAGTGTCTCATAACAAATTCATTATCGTACTCTTCCACTTTTAAATCTTGTTCTTTTTCGTATGACCTAGCCAAGATAAAAATTGTTGTGTTTCCACTTACCAGTGGACCCTTGATAACAATTCAGACCCTTGACATGTATTTTGGTTCATGTTCATTATGATATAATTTGCAATAATTAAGAGAACATTTATCTGAGTATGATATAATCATATTTACATAAAGCTAATTAATAGTCTATAATTAAAAAAACTACCAAAAGTCAAGAGAATTTTGGCATTCAATATCTTGGAGTTTTATTAAAACGCTGAGTTTGCACTATGTAAGCGAGTATGCCCCAATGACCCTATAAGTAATGATTGAATCTCTGTTTTGTCAACCCTTATTCATTATCTCCTTTTATTACCATAACTACATATACCAGTATGTACCAGTAGATATTTCAGATTTCAAAAATTTCAATCAGACTTTATAAGAAATTGTATTTTTTTTTTAAAACAGGGATGAGGAGTTATCTGGTGTAGAAGCATTGCCAACAAAGAGGCGGAAACTTCAGAAGTCAACACTGTCAAACAGTTTTCTTTATAGTCCACAGTAAGGATAAAAATATATGTTATAAGTAAACATAATACACAAGTAATAAATTCCAATAATTCCAATAATGATAATTAGAATATAAATTGTCAAATTTTTAGAACAATGTTTTATGAATACGCAGTCATTTTTACTCACCTGAGCCGAAGGCTCAAGTGAGCTTTTCTGATCGAAATTTGTCTGTTGTCTGTAGTTGTCTGTAGTTGGCATTGTAAACTTTTCACAATTCATCTTCTCCAGAACTACTTGGCCAATTTCAACCAAACTTGGCACAGAGTATCCTTGGGTAAAAGGGATTCAAGTTTGTTTCAAATCATAACCCCCTCCCTCCCTTTTAGTGGTAGGTCGGGACCACTTATGCATTTAAGCTTTTCAGTACTAAACTGATTTTTGCTTTTTTCCTAGCCACAGTGCTCAGGTGAGTGATATGGCCCCTGGGCCTCTTGTTAAATTAATTACACGTAACAGGAGGGAATACTTGTAATAGTTTTTCAGCTGGTTAGTGGAGTGATTTAAATTGCACACATGTTGTAGGTTATCTGTAATTGACATCACTGAAACTGATGACCATGAGGATGACAGTTCTTCAGATTCTGATTATGAGCCAAGTTTCAATATAAGTTTGAGGTACTGTAGTCTTTTCTGTCATACTAAATTTGAAAAAAAATAAATAAATAAAATTTCTTTCAAAAAATGCATGTTATGGACACTGTGACACTGACTTTCAATTAAAGATTGCTAATGAAAGAAAATTGAACTTAATCAAGGAACCATCCACAGTTTTTGTAAAATAGCAGATTTTTTACATCAATTTCTTTTTAATTTTTTTATGTAGACCTAACACTGCCAACTTCACCTCACTTGACATAGAAAATTATTCAGATGAAGAAGAATACAATGAAAATGAAGATGATGACATTTGTGAGCCAAGTACTGATGTACAAGACATGGTAAAGATTTCCAAAGCAGAAGACATTACATCAGACCAGTCATTTCTGGTGTACAACCAATGCCTGATGAAGCTTGCAGCAATCAATGTCCCAAAAACCTGTACAGCAAAAAACTGTGGAGCAGAAGTCTCTGTCACCAGGAGTATCATTGGATCAGCAGTACATTTGAAATGGGTAAATGATAAGTGTTTTCTAGATTTTTAGTTGTGCTTAATTAAAAGCTTGGTGGAATTAAGGGAGAGGTGGATGGGAGACAAATCAGAGAAAATTGATTCAAATTTTCATTTATTTTACAAATTGTCATTTAACTTGTTGCTGAGAGTTATTTTCTTATATTTTAGCTTTCATGTCTGATGTTCATTATCACTGTTTAATTACATTTACTAATTAACAGGTTTGCAGACAAAAACATGTATTGTACGAGTGGTGCTCCCAACCCATTTTAAACAGAAGAATGCACAGTGGGGACTTGATGCTTGCATCAGCCATTTTGCTCTCGGGAAATAACTTTAAAAAGATTGAATTGATGTGTAAATTTTTAAATCTTCCAATAATAAGTAACACCACCTTTCATAAAATACAGAGGACATATCTTATTCCATCAGTAGATGAGTTTTGGGCTGATAATCAATTGAATACCATCAACCAATTCCTTGGTGAAGATTTGGTCATCCTTGGTAAGTATTGAAAAAAAGGAAATGTATTCTGAGCCACACACAAAATGTGCGAGTCCCATAAAAATCGCTTTGTTAATCCATCTATCCTTCCACCTTTATGTCGACATGCAATTTTGTTGTGACAAGATAAGTTTAGATGTATTAATGGGTTCATACAGAGGTACTTGATTATAATACAAGACAACTAATCAAAAAGTGTGTCTGATCGGATAATGTAGGTATGTGTTTCTACTTCAATCAGCATTATTTTTTTGTGATATAGTATGAATATCTCCAACAGTTATTACATTTTAGCCTTATACAGAAGAACATGTAGTTACCAAAGGAGGAAGGCACATATATGAGGGTCATATCAGTTTCCTTGGTTGTATCAGTATATAAACATTTTTATATATATCCAAGGAACTTTCTGTTAGGGAGAAATTTATATCACACTATATCCTTCAAGCTTGCATGTTCACATCCATGATGAAGTAAATCATTACAGGGACTTTCTATATAAGTGTTTTTATTTTTCTGGTTGCAATGTTTAAAGTTTTAATTATACAAATAACATGACTGATTTAAAATTATACATTTTTTTATTACCACAACTTTAATGTGTTTTATAAACTATGAATGTTTTATATTTTTATGTCCACATAAAATGTGGAAATTAAATATGAGCAATTTTTCAATTTCATTTCAAGGTGATGGAAGAATGGACAGTCCTGGACATTCTGCACAGTTCTGCTCCTATACCTTTATGGAGTATAGTTCTAAAAAAATTCTATGTGTGGTCACCATGGACAAAAGAATTACGGAACTAAAAAGCACAAATTTAGAGAAAGCTTGTTTCATCAAGGGTCTCAATTTCTTGCTTGACAGTGGTTTGAAAATTGTTGAGGTGGTCACAGATGCCCATAATCAAATTGCTGCAGTGATGAGTAAGTTTTACTACACACTAAAGTGAATTTGTTACCAGTATTCCAGTTTCTATACAGAGTTTAATTAATTCTTTTTTTTTTTCAGAAAAAGACTACAAGCACATTCGCCACTCATTTGACATATGGCACGGTACTAAGAACTTAGGAAAGAAAATAATGTCGGCAAGTATAAGTATTATTGACCTAGGTTTTTAATAATGTTGCTCTGAGTCAGATCTATACATCCTTTATGCATATCCCTCAGTTATCTGAGATTTGGGGGGCATATAGTTTTTGGTCTGTCTATCTACAAAAACTTTAACCTTGGCCATAACTTTTGAAAGGTTGGTTCTAGCAGGGACATAGTATTGTTTTTGAAGGGGGGCAGCCAGAGAGAAAAAAAATACATCATACCATATATACCAGAGTAGGCTTCCTGATTTCTCACGTCTTTACCACATTATAAAACTTCCAGACAAAAGTTTTTTTCAAGATTTAACATTTTGTATCAACAGATAACTTTCGACATATCAATGTCAACAGTATATGACAACATCAATTTGGGAGGAAATCAACAACATAGTTTCACAGGGGTTATTTCAAAGTTTTGTTAAAAATAAAAAGCAAAGGAGATAAATTAAAAAAACATCTATAATTGTGTGATTTGATATTTGCTTTATCCAACTTGTTAAAATGGTGTATATTTGCTCGGCAAGACTTGGGGCCATTTCAACTTGTTGGATATATACAGCAAAAATCAAATCACACAATATAGATATCTTCTACGTCACCCTTATTTGACTATACTGCTACAAAAATTTGAGGGGCCAACCAGCCTTTTAATGAACATTTATAATTGTAAAAAGAGTAATGTTTAGAAAAAATTTGGGAGGGGGGCTCCCACTTCTTGTTATATTTTGAATTTGACAACATGGCACTTTCATTTTATGCTATGATCCTATGAAAGATTAAACTTTATGGGCAATAAATAAATGTACCAGTACATTATAAAGCTTCAAAAGTGTGACACAAAACAAACCCTCCTTTTAAGAAATTATTTATTATATTGCACAGGTTGGACAAGAGACTGATAAGAAGGAACTACTGAATTGGACTAAAGATATAATGAATCACTTTTGGTATTCTGCACAGATCAGTGAAACATACGAAGAATTTATTGTAAGAAGAAGTAATAAGTATCAATGCAAAACTTCACACTTATCACTGATATAAATGTACCACTTATACATGTTTATATTTTTACTCCAAGGGTGTCTGGTTTGGGCTTCTACATCATGTGACTGACGAGCATGAGTGGATACTGGCATATGGAGACAATGCATCGAGTTCTTGCAGTCATGGTCCATTAACGGAGGAGAGAACTAAAGGATGGATGCAGAAAGGCTCACCAGCACATGTTGCATTGCGATACATTGTTATGGACAAAAGAAGACTCAACCAAGTTCATTATTACTTGAATTGCAGGTATTAAAATCAATATCTATTAATTGTCTTATGCTTTTATTGAAACAATAATTTGCTTTTAAGCTCACATGAGCCAAAGGTTCAAGTGAGCTGTTTAGCTCACCTGAGCTGAAAGCTCAAGTGAGCTTTTCTGATCACCTGTTGTCCGGCGTCCGTCCATCTGTCTGTCTGTCCATCCGTCTGTAAACTTTTCACATTTTCAACTTCTTCTCAAGAACCACTGAGTCAATTTTAACCAAAGTTGGTACAGAGCATCCTTGGGTGAAGTGGAGTTTAAATTGTTAAAATGAAGGGCCAACCCCCCTTACAAGGGGAGATAATCAAGAAAAGACAAAAATTGGGTGGGGTCATTAGGGCGGGGCCCAAATTTGGAATCATCAAAGTTTTACATTGAAATATATAGGCAAAATCTTTGAAAATCTTCTTCTCAAGAACCACTGGGCCAGAAAAGCTGAAACTTAAGTGGAAGCATTCTTGGGTAGTGTAGATTCTAAATTGTTCAAATCATAGCCCCCCGGGGGTAGGGCGGGGCCACAATAGGGAATCAAAGTTTTACATTGAAATATATAGGCAAAATCTTTGAAAATCTTCTTCTCAAGAACCACTAGGCCAGAAAAGCTGAAACTTACATGGAAACATCCTTGGGTAGTGTAGATTCTAAATTGTTCAATTCATGGCCCCCGGGGTAGGGCGGGGCCGCAATAAATATTACAAAGGGGAGGTCTTGTGAAGAACTGCAGGGCCAAAGTAACTCAGGTGAGCGTTGTGGCCCATAGGCCCCTTGTCTGATTAAAATTTGTCTGTTATCTGTCGTTGTTGTCCTTGTTGTTGTCAACTTTTGACATTTTCATCTCCTTCTCCAAAACCACTGGGCCAATATCAACCAAACTTGACACAAATTATTGTTGGGTAAAGGGAATTCAAGTTTGTTCAAATGAAGGACCACACTCTCCTTCAAGGCCTTAGGGGAGAGTAAATTAAGAAATAGTGAAAATTGGCAGGGGTAATTTAAAAATCTTCTCAAGAACAACTGGGCTAGAAATTTGAAACTCAATATGTGGATGCATCCTCAGTTAGTGTAGATTCAATTTTTCTCAAATTATGACCACAGGGGATAGGGTGGTCGTGGAGCCACAAAAAGCAATCAAAGATTTTCATAAGAATATATAGGGAAAATCTTTTGTTGAAGTCTTCTCAGAACAGCAGAGACATGATTAATTCATATATGTATGAAAGCATCCTCAGATTCAAGTTTGTTCAAATTATGACTGGTGGGGGTAGGGTGGGCCACACTATGTTGTCTTAGTTTAATTTTACATAGAAATATATTGGGAAAAAAATCTGCTAACAAAGAACAGAAGGGCCATTATAAGTTTCTCAGGAGAATGCCCTGGCTCATGGGCCTCTTGTTTTTTATACATGTACAAGGATTGTGGCATTGAAGAAAAAATTTCCATTCCAGATAAGCAAGGTATGAAATTTTTTTTCTGCAATGATCACAACCTTTAATTTCCTTATTAACAAAGAAAGAAATACATTTTATTGTTTAAATTCTATCATATTCTATTTTGTTCCACATACAAGTTGGGTAAATGTATTATCAATCTGTATGTTTGATGTAAGAGCCATAAAACAGTTGACCATTGACACTTCTTTAGAAGATGGCTTTTTAAAAAAAATGAACTTGATAATTTACAGTTTAATTTTCATATAAGTCAAATATGAACGCCCTATCATATGTCATTCAAAAGTACCCAATCACCAAAGTTAAAATTTTTGAAAATTAGTTCAGACATCAAGGTCAAGGGTCAAAAGTCATAGCATACTTGGAAACATTTTGTTACAGATATTGCAGATGTCAAATATGAAAGCCCCATCTCTTCTCAATCAAAAGTTGTAAAAAAAATATATTTTTTAAATATTTTTGAAAAGTAGGTCAAACTTCAAGGTCAATGTCACGGGTCAAAAATCAAAGTATGTGTAGAAAGGCCTTGTCACAGGTAATATACATGTGTAATATGAAAGCCCTACCTCTTCTCATTCAAAAGTTATGACCAAGGTTAAAGTTTTTGGGACAAATGGACAGACAAATGAGATTTAATGTCCTCTCGCTTCTGCGAAAGCGGGGGATGAAAATTGGAGTGAGATATATATTTGTCATCCTTTTTGCAAAACTCGTGTGATTTTGAATGGAGATAACTATGTAGCTGTTCACCTTTTTTTTTTTTTAGAAGCACAGCAGAATTGGAGAATTTCCAAAATTTAATTTTGGTGTATGCCTCCAAAAGACATTCCTACAGTCCCCCAACGTATAGGACAAGAAATTACCTTGCAGCACTTGACCAAAATGGTCACTGTGAGAGAGAAACAAAGAAAAACAAGGATGGTTCTATAAAGTAACTGTTTTTGAGATATGCAGCTGATATCTATGCATTTCCATTTGTCAATTACTGTTACTTCACTGTAGACATGTATTTAAGTGTAATAAATGTACCAGTTTGCTTGCAAGAATTACTGTATAAATTGTTTTGGTTAAATTCCCTTATTAATCCTCATAAGCTAAGTTTACAATATTTATTTATTTTCCTCGTAGGTATCAAAGATCCTTCAACAAAAAAAGTGGTGTCTGGTCCGTACACGAATTGAAAGCTGAAAAAAACTACCCCTACATTCCGGCTTTGATTCATAAAATAATCACAAAGTGATTGGAAGATGCTATTGGAATGTCTCAAAATGTTGTTTTATCAGCAGATGATCCTAGAAGAATTTCCAAGACCTTGGCACCAATTCCTCCACCTACAACTCAAGAACTTGTCCTTAAACAGAAATCTAGATTTGTTGATCAATCCAAATAAGACTTTCGATTATTCTTGGGACACTAGTGACACTCTTGAGCCTTTTGACTTTCATGGAGAACAAGAAGTCTGCGAGCGAATGCTCACTAGTAATACCCACACTCTGATGTTAATATGCGCTCTCATGTTGACGTCGAATTCATACAAAAATGAATCCCACTAAATGACTTGCCTACAGAATGAGTGTGCTAAAATTTCAAGCATCAATAATGAGTAGTTGCCGAGAAAATTGTGACGAAAATTTGATATGGACAGACACACAGATAAACAGGAAGTTGACATCAGATTCAAACAAAAATGAATCCATCCATATGGTATGCCTAAACAAAGATTGTGCTAAATTTTCAAGTATCTATGATGAGTTGTTGCTGAGAAAACTGCAGTGGAAATTTGGTTTGGACAGACACACAGATAAACAGAAAGTTGACATCGGATTCAAACAAAAATGAAACCCACCATGTTGCATGCCTGAAAAAAGAGTGTGCTAAAATTTCATTCATCTGCAATGTTTAGTTGCTGAGGAAACTGCCATGAAAAATTGTTACAGATTCACGGACACACAGACAGATACAAAAGAGTAAAACAGTATACCCCCTTCCCTTCTGAGTGGGGGTATAATAAAAGTTCATGTACAAGATTTTCCAGGATTGTTAATCATGACCATTTTCTAGCAAGCTATTGTCATTCTTTGAATGAGACTAGTACATATACATATACATATACATGAAGTGCATATTGTAAAAGGTCTCTCTAAATATGGTTTGCATTTACTAGTAAATTATTCTCATTGAAAATTACATTGTATATGTACATGTATATATGGTAAATACATGTTTTTTTTCTAGGACTGTTGTGCAACTACTAATGATTGCAGATATCTTGTATATTTAAATTCAGATCTGCTGTTGTGTTTACAAGTGTGATCCTTCACACCTGATTTGCAATATTTATGGCAGTTATCAGCTGCCATCTTTCACTTGATATGTGTTATATTACTAGATGTCCTTGCCTGCATTTTCTAACAAAAAAGCGATTTTATATTGTTAATTTTTTTTTTATATTATCTCTATATCATTACAAACAAATAACATCAAAAGTTGAATCATTGTTACAATAAATTTGTTGAATTTATCCTAGTCTGCCGGGTACATAACCTCTGTACTGTCCAAAAGCATTTGGATACTTGTCTCTGATTTTCCAAACACAACAGCTTGGGATAGGTCTGCGGTGCCCAGCTCCTAGATGCCCATGCTGCCACAAAGTGTACTGTCTGTACCCAGCATGACGATTGGCTCTGTTGTAGTCATCGTCATCTTGAATGGCAAAGATTTCCTGCCTGTATGCCCGGGCAACATGTAAAATTAGTTCATCAAGAACTACTATATCAAAGTCCTGAAAGAGAATATATATATGGCATTGTACATACTGCAGAAAATTGGTCATAATGAAAACTACATCATAAGATTTGTCTGTCAAGGTCATGATTAATTAAGGTCATAAAGATCATTGAAAAAAAAGAGTTTTCTGTTTGTTTAGTAAATGACAGGGCCATCTTTTGTGTGTGTGTGTGGGGGGGGGGGGGGTAGTTCAACTTTTTAAGAAATGATAAAGATAAGTTTGAATATGATACAATCTATATCCCTGGAAACAAACTTAAAATTTAAGTATGGTTAAAAAAAATTATAGGAAAGGGTTGATTTTGATTTGTTGGTCAGAGTACATCAAACAGGTCACTTTTTATTTTAGCCCAGTGTAGTAAAGCCGTTGATCTGGATCATAGCAATCCGAGATCAGAAATGTCTAGTGTGAAATAGTTGATTTTTTAAAATAAATTGGAATTTCAACGAAAGTATAGACGGAACAGACAAGCTAATTTCAATTCACTCTTGTAACTTTGCTGGAGAGTTTGAGAATAGCAATTTTGCAGGTAATGTTTAAAAAAAAAAAACTTGCTCTGAGTCTTGAGAAGCAATTCTGCTCAGTTTGTCCACAACAGACGCGTTCTACTTGTGTTGGCATCTCCCTGCAATAAGAACAGGTGCACCAGTCAGGCTGTCCTTGCACACGAGCAGGTGAATGGTGTCCACCTCCCTGGGCCCTGCTGCTCTCCTCCAGGACATCAAAAACCAAACTTGGGTTCCTCTGGCAGAGTTGGAACATAAGATCTCTTAGGCTATCTTCTGGCATATTATGAATGCGTTCCTGAGAAACAAACATTGAAACGTATGATACATCCACTTCATGCAAACATCTGTTACACGTATGTAATTTATCAACATATAAAGACATCAAATTAACTTTTATAAAAGTCATATATGTTATACTTGTAAGTGTATTTAAAAAGGGAATATTTGAGTAGACCTACCTGCAACTGAATATTTCTTGCCGCAACCGCATCTCTTCTGTCCACTGTGATCTGCCTTCTGCCGCGGCGAGCAGCACGAACACCCTGTCCCCTGGAACGACTAGATCTTACTCTCGCAAGACGGACACGTCCCCTTGCCAATCTTGCACGTCTAAGCTCATCAGAGCTTGAATCAGTATCAGGACCCTAGAAAAGGAAAATTTTTAGATGGCATATACACAACTAAATTCGTTTTTTTGTTTTAGTCTTTAAGTATAATCAACACGTGTAGGCATAAAAAAAAAGAGAAATTTATCATGAAACTTATTTATTATTAGGGTCTATAGAATGGTCCGTGATCATCAGTCAGAAAGTGCAACTGAATTCTCAATTATCTTTTGAGCTGAAATTTTATAGGTCTAGATCATCGCCGCCGCAGCCAGTGATTGCAGAGTGACAGTGTGAGTGACAACGTTAGCAGCTTAGCTTCTCTCTATTTTTTTTTTTTTTTTTTTTTTTTTGAAGTAGAGATCAATTTAAATAAAACATAAGACCAAATGGCATTGATAAATATATCAGAGACAACACACTGTTGCAGATTTTTTTTATGAGGCATCGGATCTGATCATGCGGCAACCAACATTTCACGTTAATCTCGGTCAGTGTCGGTACAGTAATTTTTAATCTGTTAAATGTTACGTATATGTTTTCGAGAAATTATTCCTGATATTAACTTGACCCTTGAGTATAATTCTTTTAGTTATAGTTTAAAAATAATGAAAATACACACAAATATAGACTATGAAACAGTTTACTGAAAGCGAATATGTTACTTTACATCAAATAATGTAGTCCCGTGAACCCCCATCGTGGGCCCCAACGAACATTTTCTTTTAATTTTAGAAGTTTTCATGTTTAAACTAAAATTTCATGAATTGCAAAGTGTTAATAATTTTTTTTTGGTCATAAACTTTTGTAAATTTAAAATCTCTTTTATTAACTGGGCTTATGATATACTGAAAGTACTTACAACTTGCGTATTGGAATCCATCTTGCTTTCCACTTCGGCTATTTCCGGACTACGAAGCGTCTTCGTCATCAATGACGATTGCGACGTCAGACTCAGCAGCGAAAGATAATTAGATACGATCATCGTAATTTTTATTGAAGTAATCTTACCCATATGATCCTTTTACACACCAGAACAACAATAATTTATTGTTTTCCGTGTTTTGGAAAAGAATAAGATGGTTTTTAGGGATATGAAAAAATGCTTAAAATGAGGTTTATTATCACTAAGCACCAAAAACCGCATGCACTCTCTTCGCAAAGAAATTCTCTTTAAAGTAGCATGGTCATTAGACTGAGCTGAAAAACTGTTTAACAGTTGTCTCTACCAAGAAAATGAAAATAAGGTTGTATGTGAAAAACTGTGCTTCATTACAAATATCCCTGAAGAATCCATATGAAAGATATGGTTTTGATGTGTGGAAAGACTAGTCTTTCATGCTGCACTTTTTCAGACAGATTAAGACATGAAATAGGAGTTAAGAAACGCACCATTTAGTATCAATGAGACATGTTATCTGAAAATACCAGACTTACATTGATTAGACATAGTGAAGACACTTAACATTCCATCATCACAAAAGTGTATAATGATAACTGTCAAAGGAAATGAATCTAAAAGTATTTCTAGCAGATGGGTGTGCTGCAACAACCATTGAAATAACGCTCACTATTAAAACAAGCATTCTGAGAGTATTGCATTAGCAATACTAGTCCCCTACTGGCAAGTGTAATCTGACAGTTAGTCGGACAGACAGACAGACAGACAGATGCAGAGGAAACCTATAGTCCCCTCAGGTTTCACCGGTAGGGGACTGATAATTATGCATTTCAAAACCCAAACCAGGTTACAACCACTATACTTAAACAAACATTCTGAGAGTATTGCATTAGCAATGCTAGTCCCCTACCGGCAACTGTAATCTAATTCCCGTTAAAAATTGAAAATGCCGCAATTCCATCAAAAATCAATGAAGTGGAACGAAATGCAAACTTGATCTATAACTAATCAAGGTAAAGTCACATACCAAAAATCAGCTCAATATCTGCAAGCGTTTGGAAGAAAATTGCGGAAAACCCTTAAAATTGAAGAGGTCGTAATTCCGTCAAAAATCATTGAAGCGGAACGAAATGCAAACTTGGTCTGTAACTCATCAAGATACACTCACATACCAAAAATCAGCTCAATATCTGCAAGCATTTAGGAAAAAAAGTGTGGAAAACCAAGTGGGACAGACAGAGGGACAGCTAGACAGACAGACAGACGGACGGACAGGCGCAGAGGTAACCTATATATAGTCCCCTCCGGTTTCACCGGTAGGGAAATAATAACGTTCACTTTTGAAATATTTATTTCAATCACTTTAGGTCCGGGGGGAGGGGGGGGGGCATGAAATTCAAAATTTTTGTACCCCTTCATCCATTGATGCTGTATGAAATTGGTTGAAATTGGTTCGGTGGTTCAAGAGAAGAAATGAAAATGTTCATGCAGGGCGATGGACAAGAACAGATAGCAATAGGTCACCTGAGTGAATAAAAATAGGTGACCTAACAAAACATTCCTAGATGTGTTGATCAGATTTTGTTTTGTTTTTAGTCACCTACCGGTGAAACCGGAGGGGACTATAGGTTTCCTCTGAGTCTGTCCGTCCGTCTAGCTGTCTGTCTGTCTAGCTGTCCGTCTGTCTGTCCCTCTGTCTGTCTGTCAGTCTGTCCCACTTTTTCCGCACTTTTTTCTCTAAACGCTTGCAGATATTGAACTGATTTTTGGTATGTGAGTGTATCTTGATGAGTTACATATCAAGTTTGCATTTCGTTCCGCTTCAATGATTTTGACGGAATTACGACCTTTTTAATTTTTCACGTTTTTCCGCAATTTTTTCTAAACGCTTGCAGATATTAAGCTGATTTTTGGCATGTGACTTAACCTTGATAAGTTATATATCAAGTTTGCATTTCGTCCCGCTTCATTGATTTTTGACGGAATTATGGCATTTTCAATTTTTAGCGGGAACCAGATTACACTTGCTGGTAGGGGACTAGTATTGCTAATGCAATACTCTCAGAATGCTTGTTTTAATTGCAAGCCTTGGAGTTAGGGTCTGGCCGAAATCAGAGATCTAAGTTTTAAATAATGCATTTGTGCTTGGAAAAAAACTTCCCCAGAACAGCAGGGTCATGTTGATCGAATAGATATTGAAGCATTCAAATACAGTCTGATGCCAAAAATATGGAATTCTATGTCCAAAAAGAAATTTTAATTGGATTAACTGCAAAAAAAAAAAATTACTGGTTGAAGAAGTTTGAATGAATTCTAGAGAGGGATTAAGGTACATTTCCACTGATATTATACAGGGGAGAAAGCAAACGTTACATAACTTTTCTGTTAACACCATGCGCGGATCTAGAGGGGGGTCCTGACCCCCCCCCCCCCCCCCCCCCGAAAATTGCAGAGTTATAAAATGTATAAACTAAACCAACTAAAAGTGACCTTGGACCCCCCTAGAAAACGCGGACCCCCCTCCTCGAAAACGCGTTAAGTTGGTATGAAAAGTCACAGGTATGAAGCTTTAAAAGTCAACAACTACCCCCCCCCCCCAACAAAATAGGTTTTTCACGTGTGGGGAAGGTGTTTCTGTTTTCTCTCTCTCTCTCTCTCTCTTTTGCTTGTCAAGAATTTTCTAGGTTGAATTTTTTTTTTGACACTGATATTATACGATGGTGAAAACTCAAACGTAACAACTTTTCTGTTTACTATGTCTCCAAGTGCTTGCCCTAGCTTTACTTCTGTGGAAAATTTACCTAGCTGATCCTTTAACAGTCCCGCTGTAGTCTCACTAAATCTCGCCAGAGTTACTGCGAATTCCTCTGGTATTACATGTATATTTTGCAGACCGCCGAAAAATAAGAGATTTCCAGTCAACCAAGATGAGTTCGATCTACACTACCTATACTGGATTCCTAAACTTCATAGAAATCCTTACAAACAGATATATTGTCGGATCCAGTAAATGCTTTACGAAGCCCCTACTTTTACTCCTTACAAAATTATTAACTGCTGTAAATGAGAAACCTCAGACGTTCTGTGCTACAACACATTCTAGAAGTGGTGCAAATCAGGTTTGGATTCTCAAAAACTTTAAAGAACTTGTAAAAAAATTTAAAATCGCAAAATTCAAAAGTCAGTAACGTCAAAACATACGACTTTTCTACACCTAATACAACCATTTCTCACGATAAATGAAAAACTACGCTTTCTGATATCACAGACAATAGCGTCCTCAATGAAAATGGAACTCTGAAATTTTCCTATCCTGTGATTGGTCATCGACAAAATTACTTCGTTAAAATCATTCCGATTCTACACGCAACACAAGTAATCTGTAAATGATATTATTAAATAAAAGGATGCTGCAAGCTGGAGTTTCTCATTGACAGCATTGTTAGAACTGTTAGAATTTCGATGGGCACGTTGTGCTCCTTTATTAGCCGACCTGTTTTTATATTCTTAAGAAGCAGAATTCATCCAAAATCGTTTACATGACAAGAAGGTAGAAAACACTTGCTGTAGCCTACAACTCGACATTAAGATATATCGACGTATAATCAATAACAATAGTTACTTCCATTCATATCTTGATTCCATATATCCCTGTGGACTTGAAATAAAAAAAACCCCACAGAGTCTGCCATATTTTACTGACTATAGACGATAAGTGCCAATTAACAATTAAATTGTATGACAAACGAGATGACTTATTAATAAGTTTTTCCGTCGTCAACTTTCCTTATTTATGTAGTAATCACCCGCTATCACCTGCATATGGTGTATACATCTGTCACAGATGAATCAGGACGCTGTCCTTGATACTGTCCGACCCAACGAGAAATAAAGGTCTGCAAATCGTAAGGCGGTTTTTATCTTCTTACCAATAGTCCACCCCAGTGGCTTTGCGACAAGCACACGCATCTAAAGCGGGGGTGTGATACATCCCCCAACTTATTTGATACTCAAGACCATGCTCCAAGTACGATCAATTTTTAATCCGAGACAGGCTACTAACAGATAAGTTGATGTTACAGGGACTTCAACGACCTTGTTTAAAATCAGCATTTCGTAAATATTATGGTCGTTATTACATGTAGGACCTTGTTAACAAATATAATCTACCATTGGGTCGTATTTTGGCTAACTTGTTTCATACCAATTGTTAGGTCTTTGTTACCTCTACTGGTCAGAGACCAGAAGAGCTTATGCGATTGTAAGGTGTCCGTCGTTCGTCTATCTGTCTGTCCGTCCGTCCGTCTGTCTGTCTGTAAACAATTTTTCAAAACACTACTCCTCCTACAGTTTTGGTCCGATTTCAATATAACTTGGCACTCAAGTAGACTACACTAAGATACATAATCTTTTGTATCATTTTTTGATTTCAATGAACGGTGTTGCCATGGTTACTAAAAATAGAAATTTATGTGAAATACATTCAAAACGCTACCCCTCCCACAGTTTTGATCCGATTTCAATATAACTTGGTACACAAGTTAAATAGACTACACTAAGGTATATATAGCTGAGAAAATTCGGACAGATAAACCAGAGAGCTATAGATCCAAGCATTGTAAAAACCTTCGATTTACGCCGCCGCTTTTTTGTCGCTCGCTTCGTGTATTATTAGCTCTTCTGAGCCAAAGGCTCAAAGAGCTAATGCTATGGCTATTTGTGCGGTGTGCGTAAACTTTTTAGAATATGGGCTATAACTCAAGAACCCCTTGGCCAATTGTTGTCAAATTTGTTACAAAGTATCCTTGGCCCAAGGGCTCCCTTTTTTACTAAAACTAGGGTTGTGACCCTTAAACAAGGGGAGATAATTAGGAAAATAGAAACAAAAGTACTGGTTGTTAAAAAATCTTCTTCTCAAGAACCACTGGGCAGATTATCGCCAAACTTACAGAAAAGGATGAAAATATGTTGTAGATTAAAAATTGTTCAAAGCATCACCCTGGGGCAAAGGACGTGGTCTCAAGGTCACT